AGAAAAAAAAAAACAAAAACCCAACTCCAGAACACTTTAACAGCCATCGCTAATGCACCTTGCATTCCCCGGGCCCATTTTATTGTTTGGCGTATTTTTGTAATGCCTGCAGATAACCGGCCAAAATGTAAATTATACGACCGTGTCAAGATATTTCTAGCACAGCCACGTTTTAGTTTAAAAAGCAAAGGAAATGTTCAGCTAATGAATTGTATAATAAAACAACAGGTTTTTTTTTTTTTTTTTTGGTTTTGTTTTAAGGCGCCCTCAAGGCCAAAGAGGCAGAATTTTATAGGCCAATGTTTAACAATCAGACTGGGGAGAAGAGGCGACCAATGTCAACAGTTGTGCCACAGTAAAAAAAGGGGGGGGGGGGGATTTTTATTAGTATTATTATTTTCTGTCTCAATTTGAAAAACCTCTCCCCGCTCTGGTCGGTCTCCACCTGCTCACTAAAGTGAAACGAGTCCGAAGCGAGTTCCTCAGGGTGTTGTTGAAGTCATTCTGTGAAACGTAGGAAATCACTGAGTAAGAGGCGGGCAGGTTCGAGGGGACGGCGGACGCCACAAACACAAGTTTAATAAAACAAATATTCAACGCTCCTTTTCCCTTCGTCTCCCGGGAAACGGACCGAACGGACCGAGCATCCAGTATGTGGATGAGGTGTGTGTGTGTGCGCGCTCGCGTGTGTGCATGAACTTTGATGCTTTTACACACACAAGACAACGTCCAATTCTTCTTCTTCTTCCCCTGAAACAGAAAAAAAGGACTACGCCATCTTTTTTTTTTTTTGCTGTCATTTTCAAGTGTAATTTTCTTTCTTTAAAATGCTGACATTGTATAAAGAGCTTTTGCCTTTTCTTTTTCTTTTCTTTTTTTTTTTTGATTTCGGGACTGTCTTTATAAAGAGATGTTTTCCGTGACATGTGAGACCTTTTTATGTTTGTTTTATAAAACATGGAGTTGGCTGTCAACTGTCAAGTTTTTATTTTTAAAAAATTAGATTTTCAATATCTCAAATAAAACCAATTGCAGGGATTACTGCCACTCTTATCTTACTTATAGGCAGACGAATATTGCACAAATACTTTCACAAAAATTTGAAATACTAAGGGGTTTATTTTATTTTTTGTTTTTATGTTTTTGCATTCCACTTTCTTTTGTAATTTTTCCTGTTTTATGTAACCGTCTGTACTGAATCTGTATAAAGACGACATGTTTAATTAAGGACGTGTGCTTTCGCTCCAGAAAACAGCTGGTTGACGGTAGCATCCCTGTCCACAGCTGATCCGTGTACAGTAGAGAGCAACATTTTGATTCTTCCAGAGGCTTGGAGGGACAAGCGGCATTGCTATGCAGTGCAAAAAAAAAAGCCTTTCGATTGACAAGTAATCCATAATTTAAGTTATTCTGTTTTAAAAACCTAAATAACGATTGTTTTTATAGATTAAGAAACAACCTTGTGATCAGATCAGATTTTTTTGCACTGTGGCCACCGTCATTTTTAATATAGTTGGGGGAGAAAAACAAACATCCGTTGTGTTGCCTTATTATCAAATGAGTTACTTTTTAATTTAACCAAAAAAAAAAAAAATCATCCGAGAGTAGGCGGTGCCTAAGAATGTTTTCAATGTTTTTTTTTTTTTGGTTTTTTTTGGCGAGGGAAGTTTCTGTTGATGCTTCAGTAACATGGTTTGAGTTTTTGCTTTGTCCCATTAAATTGCTGATGCTTAAAACAGCGTCCGTTCACACTATTTGAATCGTGTTTTGAACGTGTGGAGCAGGGTTTCACTTAGTGAACCTCTCAATTAGAGTCCTGATAGACGGGCTGGTCGTCCGTCTGGGTTCCCCTCGTCAGTGTGGCTGCTGTGGGACGATGTTAGTGCTCAGCCATGTGAGAAAATTGGTAACTATAACTTTATATGTATAGTTTCCTGCAGCATAGGATAGTTTTATCTATCAGATATCTGCATTATATCTGCAACCCCCATCTCTAAATATCTGTATCAGCCATTATAAAACTCAAATTCAGGCCTACAACTAACAATATCTTTCACTATCAATTAATCTGCTGATTGTTTCCTAGAATAATCGATCAATTTAGTTAATTTAACGTCAAAAATTTGCTCTAAAATGTTCCAAATCCCAAACTGACTTCTTCAAATTTTTGTTTTTTTACCCCGAAATTGAAGATATTCAGTTTATGTTCATATATGACTGATAAAAGTAGATAATATTAACATTTAAAAAGCTGAACCAGAGATATGTTTGCCGATTTCTGCCTGGTGACCAATGATTTAATCAATTAATTGTTGCAGCTCTAATGTTTGACTAATTGCTTATAAAGAGATGCACATGAAAACACCTGAACCTCTAAATACAAAGTCATAACTTCAGTATTTTTATATTTACAACCTCTAAAACTGAGATGTGCTCCTTTAATGCTGGGAAATAAAACGCTTTATATTCTGTAAACTTTCTGGACAAAACTGTAATCTGGTAAAATACTGAAAGTGAGACAAGTTACTGACTTGTAGAGCCGGAATAATTAAGATAAACTTATTTGGCAGGTATTTTGGATTAGATGGATTAATAATAATTGTTATAATTAAGCAGAAATGCCTTAAAGTCACTGGTTTCACCGTCTTAACTGTGAGGGTTTGCTGCTTTCCTCTGATATATAACTGTTAATTTAATAGATTTGGGTTTTTGAACTGTTGGTCACCTGAAAACTCAAATCAGCTTGATCTCTAGGAAACTGTGATGGATATTTTTTATGGACGAATGGATCAATAGATCGA